ATCGGCACTTTGCCTGCAGGATGGCCGTACGTATATCACATATCTTACCACCATAATACTCACAATTTTAATTAGATTTGCTACCTTCTGGCAATACGCTGATTCCGGCCCGAACCCAGGTGATCAGGATCTTTTCAACGGTGATGCCGCTGGTTTGAAGCGGTAAGTGCCTATCCATTCGTCGTTGTGCATAGCCGCAAGTACTCATGCTTGAATGCCTGTTCAGTATGGCTACCGGTTAGGTCTCTTTTTATCTCCCCGTCAATAGTTGACTGGTATATAACCGTGATCTTTCCCAAATTATGTAAAGCTTGAATGTAAAGTTGGCGATCTCATCCCTTGCTAAAGTCGCCTGCAAATTTTAAAACACAAAGCCCACAGGTAACCATAAAATTGCTAGAGAAAACCGTTTATTTGCATGAATTCATCGTAGAATATCCTTTCCCGCCTCGGAGGGTCTCTTCGCTTACCATGAACCGTTCGCTACGGACTCCGGGACATTTGTTCCGGGCGTGATACTTTCCTTCACGGTCCGCTTCGGTCCGTGGCTCCTAACAGTCGGGTGATCGTCTCTTCGTCACTTATAAGCTCCCCGAACCGCTGTAGAAATGCACCCCCCTTACCTTCCACGTTCTCTGTATCTATATATTCTTATTCTCTATCTCTAGCCTCAAACATTCTGGAAATATGGTAAAAATTACGGGTTTTGACATCAACGGTTCGTCATTGTCCGTTGTGAGGTTCTAGGTGCTGATCATTCATCCAGATGTACGCTTTCCGACATCATTGACGGGAGATGGTACCGATGCGATGTAACTATATTACACTGCTCGTACTTGGAAGACTCTACTGATATGAAAACGCGTTTAGGAACACGGATTGCGACTATTCTTCTGCATACGTGACACTCAAGACGGGTTCTGATCTTGTGGGATATGGAATGACTTTTACAATTGGTCGCGGAAATGATATAGTAAGCAACGAATAATTCTTTGAGCGAATTACTAACCGACATTCACTTACTTTATAGGTCTGCGCAGCAATCAAAGAAGTCGCAAATCGCCTTCTTGGCAAAGATACCGAATCTTTGTTCGCGGACATGGGCAAAACTTGGGATTACATGATGGCAGATCCCCAACTGCGATGGTATGTAAACCTATTCTTAAGCCTGTGCTAAAGATAATCATGACCGTTCAGGATTGGTCCAGAGAAGGGTGTTATTCATATCGCGTCAGGGGCTGTTAATAACGCAGTATGGGACATGTATGCCCGATCGCGGAACAAACCTCTCTGGAAACTTGTCGTCGACTTCACACCTGTAAACCGCGTCTGACTAGCTCGTTTTCCCCTTACTTATACCTCTTCTAGGAAGAGCTCGTACGCTCAGCCGCGTTCCGTTATATCTCAGATGCCATCACGAAGGAGGAGGCTCTGGCCATGCTCAAAGAAAAAGAAGTTGGCAAGAAGGAACGCGAGGAGAAAGTGAAAGAACTAGGGTGAGCTCAACAACAAATGCAGTGAACTTTGGCTGACGAAATAATCAGATATCCCGCCTATGTTACATCTGCTGGATGGCTTGGTTTGTATTCATCCAGTAGTACGGAGTACCTGTTGATATACTGATATCTATATAGGCTACAGTGACGAAAAGGTAGCACGTCTCACAAAAGAGGCTGTCGCAGCTGGCTTCAACCACTTCAAGATGAAGGTCGGAGCAGATCAAGCTGACGACCTACGCCGCGGTAAACTCATCCGCTCCATCATCGACGATCCCCAATACCTCCCCGCCGGTTCCGAGCCGCGCGACCTCAACAGCGAAGCTCTTCGAGGCAAGAACGCTGGACCAACAGGAGCAGTGCTAATGATCGATTCAAATCAAGTTTGGGATGTCCCTCAGGCTATCGACTACGTCAAGGGGCTAGAGGAAATCAAGCCTTGGTACGGATCTTTAATCAAAACCTTTGACGTTTTGCTAACACACCTGGTTGGCAGGTTCATCGAAGAGCCTACCGCCCCAGACGATATCTTGGGCCACGCTGCTATCCGCAAAGCCCTTAAACCTCACGGTATAGGCGTCGCTACCGGCGAGCATGCACACAATCGGATGGTCTTCAAACAGCTCCTTCAGGCCGAAGCTATTGACGTCTGCCAGATTGACTCCTGCCGTCTGGCCGGAGTTAGTGAAGTTATCAGCGTGTTGTTGATGGCTGCGAAGTGAGTTCCTTGTTTTTTGAACAAGAAAGTCCCGCTAACCGATTTTGTCGCCTACTAGATTCGGGGTCCCTGTATGTCCCCACGCTGGAGGTGTCGGTCTATGCGAATACGTGATTCACTTGAGGTATGTGCCCTAACCGATTCGCGCGGTAGTGGCTCACGTTTGTCTCCTTACAGCTTGATTGATTATATCGCTGTATCTGGAACCATGGAGCGCAATGTTCTGGAATTCGTCGATCATCTTCACGAGCACTTCGTAACTCCTTGCTCCATTAATACAAGTGGACGTTACAATGTACCCACAAACCCCAACGAAGGCTATAGGTGCGTAGAGGAGCCTACTTGCCCGAGTTCACAGCTAATAATATCGTATCCAGCATTGAGATGCACAAGTCCAGTATCGCCGAGTACGAATGGCCTAATGGATCATACTGGGTGAGCGCACGAAATAATAAGGCCTGAGCGACCATGGAGACCAATCATTGATTTATCGTGCGGGCTGTGGCGCCACCAATTTGTGACTTATTTTGTAATGCTAGTATTGCTATTCAATTCAGATCGAAGCGCTCAGTCTCATCTAAAACTTTACGATCAATGATAGGATTCTCCACGGCTAAACGCTATCAAAGTTAAATGATAATAGAACAAAAATAACGAGCCCGAGATCTCCAACATCGGGTGCTTAGTCTCATCTAAAATTTTATAGTCAACGACAGAGTTCTCCACGACTAAATGCTATCAAAGATAAATGATAATAGAACAAAAATAACAAGTCTGAGATCTTCAACATCGGATGAAAATTACACCACTTACTTTCTTAGACAATTTTCAATCTCTCAGAATAAGGAATCCAACATATTGGAAATCGTTTTCCAAACTTCAGCTTCGAGCTGGGCAGGAGTGGGTATGTGTCTGGAAGCCATGGAGGGGAACATTGACTTTTGTAGGTCCATGTTTGCCGAAGTGATGCTAGTAAAGGACATCACACAACAAGCCACAATTGAAGGCATCAACTTTCCCCCCCAACCGTCATATTCTCTCAAAATTAAACGGGCTCTTCAATCTAATTATGGGCGCCCCTTTGCAAAATACTAGGCGCCATCGCGAATGTCAATGCATAGACAAAAGCCTGCGATATGGAGAAGGCGCTTAGGTCGTGCTGCTAGGGCGACGGTACTCTATTCGCGAGATGTTGTTCCTCAAACAGTAATTGTTGGCTGCCCCGCCTTATTGTATTACAAGACGCAACCCGCAAGTTGTCAACGTAGCCTCGTTCAACGATGTGGACAACGTCGACTCTTGTTTTCCTGTTTCCTGTGTCTCCTCAAGCAACCTTTTGTCTTAAATATCCCAATGATATCACATTTATAAAGGCCGGCATACATAACGATAATCACATCCTCCAACAGCTACTGTTAGAGCAAGATGCTTTACGCTCAGTACCATAATTCCTATCCTTCTTCTTCTTACTCTACACCCTCGGGTTCTTATGCGGCTGGTACACCGCTTCCCGACTGCCTTAATACGGAAGAACAGCTGAACGCTAGAGTTCAGCTCCGCAACAAACTCAATAGTGGCAGACTATACAATATGCCTGGAGCCTTCCCTTTTAATTATGTCTACGACGGACACGGTTCTGCACACATGTCTTATTACTCTTACGAATTCAAAGAAGAACTCCGGTCGCCGACGACTCGAGATCGCGCTAGAAGACAGAACGCTACCTTCTCTTTTTCCAATCCCAGCCATCATCCCCTCGGTCGCAAGGCAGAGCCTCTTACATGGCGAATTTATCTACCGCACGAAACCTCCTCCTCCCACTCTTCTGGTATGTCTTCGTTCATATACCATATTCTAACTTTACGCTAACCTACACAAGGAAAAGCTGTCGTTGCACAGGTCAAGGTAGAGCCTGAAGTGTTGACCACCACATATGGCAAGAATTTAATGGCTGGGCCACAACTTATGCTTCGCGCGTTATCTATATCCCTTGAGCTCGGGCTCGTTATTACTATTTCAATGACAAATAGCCTATCAAAACACAAATCGAGTCGTCCTTCGTCACGACCATCGTACCACTCGCAGTGGAGAGATGGGACTGTCCTATATCTCGGTTCGCGTGACGACAACAGTGAACAAGAAGTCCTCTACATTATTGACCCGAGGTGATTGCCTTCATAGTAAGTTTCTTACCTCTATTCGGCCGAGTTTTGAATTAAACGTCTCTTTGTTTCTCCAGCCCTTCGCTTCGTTAATCTTGAAACTTAAACCTTTGCAAATCTTCCTCGAGAAGGTTCCTCCCATCTGACGATGGACACATAAAGCTACGGATAAGGCTGCTAGAGCTTGTGATGACCCTTGATGATTCCACACATGACTACGTGCTGACAATGGGGCCCATTGCTATTCGATGACCTTTCACGCCATTTTCTGGATGTACGAATGCCACGAACTTGATGAACCCCTTTACCCTTTTCGTTTTATTCGCATATTTAAATATTATATGTACATATAGATATCTCTCAATTAGATGCATTAACATTAGCACTCAGCGCAGTTAGATCCTCTACGGAATGGAATGATGGCATAGCATGATGGTTCAACATGATGGTTAACTGTTTATAAAATGGCTCTGAAACTCAGAATAAATCTTGACTGTCATGGTTATTGGTAGGTAAGAGGCCAAAGACGTATAAGAAAAGAGGAGGTTGAGAAGCAGTCGAGGAGAAACCGAAGGTTGCTGCTGTAACAATTAGTAAGTAGGTCTCACATAAGATAATTGTAACTCCTTCTTAGCTCAGTTGGTAGAGCGCGTCACTAGTATTTCGTTACCTGCTTTCTACATATATGACGAGGTCAGTCGTTCAAGTCGGCTAGAAGGAACTTTATGGTGCTTTATCGAATTTTTACGTTGGAAGCTTAGATAGTCGGTTGGTCTGGTCAAGCTTTTTCTGGCGAGTGTTTATACTTTTACAGACCTTTGAAGAGCAGCGACATAGGACTATAACCGGGAGTCAAAGAGAATGACATAATCTCGCTTCGAGATATTCTATACATTACTAGACTCGTTAGCAGGTCTCAATCTGCAGAGACTTAAAATAGAGTAACCTCGGTGGCGGCGCGCGTTGAGGTGCTGAAACTTAAAACACGAAGGATGCTATTGCAGGCATTGCAACACATTGCTGCGATCGCCCGCACGAAATAGTATTATATCGAATATAAAATAAAATAGTGAAGGTTTAAACGTACTATCATAGAGTTGCGAGTATTAGATGAACTTTGAATCTTCGCAAATAGCGGCCGGACTAACGGGATCACAGCACATCTAAATAATGTATACTGCCCGATGGCACAAATGAGCCCAAAATAGAAGGAAGCGGAGAGAAAAAGGAAGGGAAAACAAGTAAAGGGGGGAAATCCGGGTTGAAGAGGGGATGATACCATACAATGGTGTATGTGGATGTGTTTACTCTATGGTGTTGTAAGGATGTACATTGAATTGAATTTGGAATTATAATGTTATGCCGTGCTGAAGGGGGTGCGACGGATGTGAGGGGATGTGTGTAGCTGAATGCAGCGAATGAGGAATGTGAAGGGGGGGGGGGGGGGGCGGAGGCAGACAAGCGGAAGAAAGAGGAACACAGAAAAGGAGAATGTCCATGTGGTAACAACGATGCAAAACGAGAACGATAACGAGCAGAGCTATGTATGTAGAAACGGAACAAGGAGGAAGGAAACGGACGGATCAGGATAAGCTTACGGTGCTCGCGGTCATTTTGCTAGTGAGGCGCGATTTATGAACTAACATATCCTCATCCGGATGTTCACTATCCACTTCCCAAACCTCACTCCATATTTCATCCTCTGCCTCCTCAGCATCTCCTGCGATGAAGAACTTCGACGCTGGGACAGATAGAGATAATGCAGATGAAGAACCTGGAGGGGCGAGAAGAGGTTCCAGAGACAGACTGGAAGACGAGGCCCGCTTGTATTCTTGATCGCGGCACATCAGCTGGGCGATGAGCTCCCAGCGACGATACCAGCTGGTGTTCCACGGGGGCTTGTGGGATCGGGTGAAGCCCGGACATGATAGGTAGATATTCGATTGGTAGCTGGGATACGGGGAAGCGCACACAAACGGAGAGTTTGTCTTGGAAGAAGAGGTCGACAGTAATGAAGAGAGTGGGCATTCCGGTTCGCACGAGGCGCGCGTGGAGGGACCAGCGGAACCCGAACCGTCCGCACAACAGCCGCTGGCGAGGTAATACTTCTCATGCTCGTCCATGAATGGGTTCTCGTACGTGTCAGACTCTTCTTGCTGCTTGCCTTTGCCCTTCCCCACCACCTCCTGCTCGACCAGGCGGGTGAGATCCCCTTCGCTCTCGCTCTCGACGAGAGTGGTGTCGGAGTCGTCACCGAAGTCGGTTGAGGGCGACGTACGCAATGACACCGCCGACTCCGTCTCGCTTTCCTCGCCATCATAACTATCCTCTTCCATCGCCTGCTGCTCATCCCGCTCGAGCTCTCTCTGCTCCTCCAACTCGCGCTCACGCTCCCGTGTCGCCACGTGCAAGTCATACATCCACAGTGTCTTGGCAATCGTCCACACGGGGAGCGAAGCGAGGCATTGGTCCATCTGCATACAGTACGGGTCCCTTAACGCGGTCACGTCCCCCCTACGCGGATGGATCGAAGGTGGAGGCACTGGATCGAGGTTCGATGAGCATGTACGTGGGCTCCCATATCTAGGAGGCTGGGGTGTCCCCTCTGCAAGTATCGATCGCTCCCCGAACTGTGCTGCGTCGGCGACACGCGCAGTGTACAGATCCCACTCGTCTTCACGGGTAGACCAGAACCACTTCAGGTTGGTGAGGGCGTGACGGGAGTAACCGTGCTCAGAGTAGATGTGTCGTGCAGGGCTGGGCGGAGCTACGGTGGGGCTGTTGGATGAGAGGGGGGATGGTAGTAGGGAGTATTTGCGCCGTGGAGGTGGGGGCGGAGGTGATCGCCGGGGTGTAGGTGAGCGCGCAGACGGGGACGGTGATGAGGGACGCGGTGACTGCTTGCTGGTGAAGGGGAATGCGAGCCTAGATACGGACTTGGATTTAGACTTGGGAGCAGGTGGAGGGAGGGCTGGAATCGAAGCCATCGAGCGGGGTTTACTGGGAAGTTGGACGAGGAGGTCGTCGTCTGAAGATGCGCATGAGGAGCAGTCAGATTGAAAGTCGTCAGAATCAACGTCCTCGTCGCCAGACGTAATGGGAGTAAAAGCGCCGTCGTCTTCTGATATAACCAAACTAAGGGAAGGGGGTTGGACGGAAATAGTTCCCAAGGTGTGACGATGGTCAAGCTTTGGGGGGATATGAATATCTTCACCAATTGGACATGGGGATTCGCGAGATGAGTGTGGGAGGGGTAGCATGGGAGGACTGTGTGCCCAATTTGGGGTGGGGGCGCCTACTAATGACGGATCACCATCGTCGAGTGTCCCCATTCCGGAGTCGACTCCGACGTTGAAACCAAGGCGACTGGCGGGTCTTGAAGGTGGGTCGTCGTCGGAGTAGTCGTCGTGTCCATCGTAGTCGCAGCTCGGGGCCGCATGATCTGCGATGTCAGAATCGTGTGGCGACTCTTCTCCCTCCTCAAATGGGTTTTCTGAGGACAGTGTGGGCGAAATGACGTGTGGCACGTTCTCGTCCGTATTGCGCGTAAATTTCATGGTCCCGGCCCTTGTTTGAAGTTTTCAACGTAGAGTACGTTACTGCAGGCGTAAGCCTGGTGGCAATAACCTACCAGACTTGTAAGTTTCAGTCATGAACGTCTTTAAATACTAACCTTCCGCCTAACTTCCTCTTACACTTCCTCTATACCCCTAGGAATCCCCCGCGTTGGCGAAGAGTAGCACGATTATTGTACAGTAATTTCCACTGAAAACTTGCGCTAGGATCTTGGTTCTAGCAGGATAGACAACTACAATTGGCCGTGAATTTTCCGTTTTAAAATGTCCTGAGAACCATCAAAGAGACTTACTGAGAATAAATCCGATTCGCGAGTTTTGAATGGGCGGTTTGATACAATAGGGATACTTGAAGATGTCGTTCGATTCGCGGCTGGCCCGTGCGTCTTGTTCAACCTTCAACGTCATTGGCTGAAACTTGCTTACGTAGCCAATAACATTAACAAGCGTGTCACAACCTAATTTAACCTCTGAAGCCAGCTGTGACCAGACTTCTTTTGAATGCATCTTAACTCTCCAGTATTACAGCATTCCTTTAGCAAATACGCATATCTGATAACCCAGGAGCTTTTGTGATATCAACAATAATCAGGCTCCGATATGATCAACTGCCAAGTCTTGTGGACCTCACGGTACTTATGGGCTTAGAGGCTATAGAGCGTGAAAAGGCGGAATAGTACCGCTCATGGCGGGTCTGATAACGATGCTGTTTTCAGGTTGAACACACGCTTTCACTGTGTCTGGCAGAAATTGACGGACAAACGACGACCTTGCAGCACCTTGTACGATTTATGACCCGTCATGACCCCCTCTATCATCCTCGATAACATTGATACGACCATCACGTACGGCCCCAGTCAACTATGGAAGATACATCCAGGTGATAGTACCTTCGGCGGAACTTACTCAGTCTGCAATGGATCGCAGGCCAACAGTTCAATCGGAACGCCATTCCTCTCGTACTCGTTTTATGGTATTACCATATTCCTTTTCAATCGTCACCTACTAAAGTGTTATGTGTAGGTTCCGGGATCGATATCTACGGTAATCCAGGCAAAGGCCTGAAGATGAACTACACGCTTGACAATTCGAGTACACAACAAGGACTTGTCAACACTACCAGAAGCCAATCTGTAAATGTTCGTCTATTCTCATGTCTCAGTAGCTCCATAGAAGTTTACATCTGTTTAGACTGGATTCCGCTTGTGGGGACTAAAAGGCCTCGATAATAGCACCTACCACACAGTCAATCTCACGATTACCGCTGGAGAAGCAGTTATTGATTACATTGTTGTTAACCCCAGCCCAAATCCACCGTATGGATTCTCGGAGGAAACTCTAATATACGACAGTAGCGACATCGCGATTCATTATAGCGGGGAGTCCTGGAGTGGAGTTGCTGGCGGAAGCTTCGCCGGTGGAAAAGCCTACGGTACATTTGCTAGTGTTACCAACAAACCTGGAGATAAGTTTGCTATAGGATTTGTAGGTACGTCAAGTTTATCCCTCACTCCTTGCTGCTTTTTTTGAATCGCCATTATTAGGGTCAGAAATATCTGTATACGGACTTTTGAACTACCAGCGAGGCAAACTTGGTTATGAGTACACCATTGACGGAAGAACTCCGACGCTTGTCATGCCATTTACAGGATCACAAGCTATCAATGCGAGCAAGTGGGATATGAACTATAAGCTCTTGGAACAATCTGTTGAGCCCGGACGTCATACTCTTGAGTTGACGATATACCAAGTAACTGGCTCTCAGGTGCGCTACTTCTTTCCTACTTAGCTTAGTGATTGCTGATTCCCCGCCCGTGTTAGGCATTCTGGCTTGACTACATTACTATTACTGGTATCAACTCCACTACACTTGCTGGTGTGGACCCCATTGTTACATCTTCGATAAATACAAATAAGTCATTCTCAAGTAAGGCTCTGGCTGGTGCAATTGTAGGCGGCATCATAGCTCTCTGCCTTGCATTCACGGTATGGAGACTCATTGTGCGTCGTTCGAGAAAGAAAGTCATCGTCGATGGCAACATCCTTCCACCATGTGAGTTCCTTTTAGCCATGAATCACATATTCTTATCTAACACGCTTTCCCAGACTCACGATCAGATCCCATTCGAAATACTGCACCTGTTAT